ATAGAGATAAAGGAGCTGGTCAAACTGAGATCATCAGTCTCCAACTCCAAAAAGAATGGGAAAAATGAGAGACAAGACAAAGGAAAGAAAAACCAAGAATAGCTCTAAATTAAAGATTCTAATAGGTAGAAAACTTCACTAGACTTTCAGTGAGTAAGCATCATAGTCTGTTTACCTACTCTGAATATTTAAATACTCTAGAATGGAGGTGTGAACACCCAGATTTCTGTATTTCAGGTCACCTAAAATCTTATAAGGATTGTGCTTCCATTTCTTATTACAAAAAAGTCTGTTACATTGTTCAATAGGGAAATACTAATTGCAATAAAAGTGGAATCTGTGAGTGTATAAAAGCAGTTTAAATCATTCCTAAACTCAACTTTGGAAAATGTGCTGCTAAGCAAATTCCAAAATTCTATGACTTACAAAAAATGTGACTTCAGTATTATCCCTAAGATCACTCAAGTTCAAAGTCAATTCTTTTTATGTGGCTTATAATAACCCTTACAGATTTTTTAATGTTTATATGAAGATTTTTCACTTGTTATTAGCACATATCTAGTAATATAAATGTAAATATTTTGTCCACTTGTTTCTATTGCAGAAATACTTAGGGCATTTTCTTAAATATTTTTTATTACCCATATCAACTTCTAACAATCACAGACAACTATGCCATTATGCAAGATTCTACAGAATTGGGAAGAATTTTAGGGACAGATTTACATGGCTTTCTTATACCTGTGCCATGTTACAGCCAACCTTGGACAGGTAGGAACAACTTCTTGTCTGTTTATTTTTCCTATCCTCCAAATATACTTTTCAATATTGACTTTGGATATGACCAGTTTGTAAAGTTAAGTACAGGTCAAATCAGGATGATGATTATTTTTCTTCATATTGAACTATAATATTAAGCACAATATAAATAAGGAACTGGAATATCCCAGCAGAGAGTGACGAGGCATTAAACACTGTGCTTCACTACAAAAGGGAAGATAACCAGGAGAGATGGAGGGCAGGAGGGGCAGGAAGAGAACTGAGATGTGCGATGTCCATGTACCAACTCCCCATGAATGCAACTTTTATGTACTGCAAACCTGGACTAATACAAACAAAAGGCTTTGAAAAATGTCCAATTTCTTTCAAGATCATGGTTATAGGAACGCATTGTAACAAAACTATTAAATGTTTGGTGCAATTCATGGTTCAAGGCTCCCAAATTCCTTAATGAGAACCAGGTCCATCCTGACACCTCGTGTGAGGGAAGGGTGAATGATACCTACAACTGTGACATGCATCTGGGGAGTCAGATGAACCAGGACTAAAAAGCAAACAAACAGAACACAAAACTAGAAAACAAACAAACAAACAAACAAACAAACAAAAAAACCATGTCTATTTGGTTTATAACTCTACTACAAGTATCTCTCCTTGACCTTCTAAATGTACTGATAATAAACACTGCCTTACGACATTAAAATATCTGAGGAATATTTCCAAGCTTTGTGTCTTACTATTCACATGGAAATACCTATGATAAAATACAAGGACAGCAGAGGCAAGAGCATCCCCTCATTGTTGTATCAGCCTGAGTGCTGACGCCTGCTTTCGGGCTTCTAACACTGCTACTGCAAATACTGTCATAAAGCAAGTGTGCCTGTCCATCGCTTATCACCTGGGCAATTTCTCACCTGTTCTGCAGCACAGTAGGGTTTTTTCTGACATGATGATGACTGTGCACCCTGTATTTTGTTGTTTTCTGGTAAAAATTTTCAGAGAATTTGAAGGTACCTTTAAACTGTATAGGATTTAGCATGTAAGGTACAAACTAATAAAAACCAGGAACTTCCAGGCAGCTATTTAACATTCTCTGTGCCATGTTAGAGCAACTCTGACAAAGAGTTTTGCAAGAAACCTCAAAACATTAAAAGAATAAACTCCAGTTATTTTAATAAACTTTTCTTTATACGTCTTGCTCTGTCTCTAACTTGGCTTTGTCTGATATACTCCACTCTCTCATATCTGCTGTCCTGAGTTACAATCTAAATAAAGATCATACCAGTCTGTTCTTCAGGAGCTACTCTGGTGGGGCTGGGGTTTGTACCATGACAGTTCTAGTGTCCTATGCTATTAGTAAAGGAAGACCACAAATTGCTGTGGCTCAAGTGATACGCCAAGAAGAGAAAATGACATAATAACTGGAAACTCCTCAAGAAAGATATCAGGATTTGAGTTTTTCATAGCTAATCTGTCTCTATACTCTACATGTGAACAATAGTATCTTTGTTAAGACAATATTTTAAATGGGGAGTTCAAATCATGCTTATGACCCCATTATGGTCATTGTTTATGATACCAGTATAGTGCAATTATAATAATGAATAGAACCAGGGCCCCTTTTTTCCTCATGAAGATAATAGTTTTAAAACTACATAGTTGTAGGTAGAAAAGAAAAACATTAGTATGTTAGAAAATACTTAGTCTGAGATTTGTGTCTACTGTTCGCAATTTTATCTATTCTGCATTTTAAATAGAAATGAGTCACAGATAACCATTGGAATGAATTTCATAAACATAATGGCTAGTTCCAACTACTCACCTAAAATGAAAAAAGAATTTTTGTTCCCTTGAAAGATAGCTAACCAGAAGCCAATGGAAGAATTTATAACTGTCTGTGCATTTGGAAACTTACCACTGGGATTTAAAATGTAATTTTGTGATATTCCCAAAGCTTCAAAGAAGAATAGTGACACTTAGTTTTTCTTAATTATCTAGAGTATTTTTGATTTTCATACTGAGAAATTCTTATGAACAAGATTCATCTGCTTTCCTTTAATATCGCTTTTAACAACCTGTGCAATTGTCATGATTTAGTTATACTATCTGTTGGAGGCATGAATTCTTCACCCGTAATTGCAAAATTCAGCATTTTCACTGTGGTTTTCGATTTTATATCTGTAAACAATAACAAAACTCTTTACATGTACTGATTCACAAAGTTTTTGAATTATGAATGTGTGCAGCTTTAATATTTTCAACCTCAGAAAATCATCTAACCTTTTATGAGACTTATAGCCAGGCCTAAAATGGTCACCAGTCCTTGTTAATCAACCCCAGGTCAATTCACCTTTTGCTTCATCTATCTTTGACATGAAGTGAAGGTTTATTAAAAATTTAGAAAATGTATTTTGTCCCTAGAGTTTGAAAAGTATTTCTAATAATTTCTTAACACTTTTTCAAAACAGAACAAATCAACACAAGATCCAAGCACACAGACGTGATTATGGGGGAGGGGTAGACAATATCTTTTTTTAATTCATAATGTTAAAAGTCATTTTCATGTTTGAACTATTTTCTAGGGTATGTCTAAATAAAAAAATACAGTATATCAGTGCTAATGATCCTAACCTCAACTACAGATTGCTTTGTTTCAGGAACACTTGCATGCATAAACTATCTTGAACTTTCCAAAATATTATTGTATGTAATATTAAATTCTATGACTCAGGTTAGCTCAGCAGTAGTTTTGTCAGACCCCAATTTCTTTTTGCTAAAATTTGATTTATTTTATAAATTTAAGAAAATTATGAAATAATTTATCAATCTACTTATTAGCAAAATGAAGAATAAATTAAATTTTAACCTAATTTCAAAGTGTCAACATACTTCCTTCTTTTTTGGTTTATCACTTTAGAGACACCAAAATTTACAACAATATATATGAAAGAAATGTGAAATCAGTCTATATTAAAAAATATGTTATCAAGTTTATACTTCCAAATTTTCATCTTTCTATATTAAAATAGTAAGTAGTTTAACTATGTTATACATAATATAGAATATTACATGAAGGAAGATATAATTAAAATAGAGTAATGTAAACATTTTTATGACTGATGTCATCATCATTTCACTTTTTTCCTGTTGCATATTTATTTTCCGGGAAATTGAAATACTTTTTGTAAATTTAGGGTCCTAAAATATAGTATATTCTGTATAGTATAATATAGAATGTCATCAGAATAATAATTATGGTTACAGAATACAGAATATTTAAAGTTTTGGATCATTTATTCTATATAGTTCATCATAAATTTCATCATCATAAAATCCATTCAGAAATATTTGATAATATATCATGTCTATAGTATATAATATTTAATAGTAATACATATTATTTAATTATTCCACTCAATTATTTGGGTCACACTTTTTAATTACACAGACAATTTTTGTTACAAGATGAAACACTAACAAATCTGTCATATGAATAAAATCACAGAAATTAAAATAATACACACAGTGAAGCACACGTGGCAGATTTATTGAGTGTCATAGAAGACATCCATGAGGATGAAATAACAAGTATGTACGTAAAACAGTGTACTACATAATGATTCCTGACAAAATTATTCAAATTAAGGGTTATTTCTGCTTGTTTTCTTCCAGTCATATTTTCAAATGAATGCAAAGACCCTTCCCACAATAGTACACTAGCATAGGAACACGATTTAGGGATGTCAGCAGTATGAAAGAGAAACAACTAAAATACTGTGCCATGAATTAGGCACCGTTGCACGAATAAACAAAGGCGGGTTACGGCTTTGCAGCGAGTATTTTCTTTCTATTTAGTGAGGGAAGAATGAGTGGCACTTGGCAGAGAAAAATGTGCAGTAAGGAAAGGAGATCAAGCTGGTGGACGCCAGAGGGCTGGAGAGCCTTGGACCCCGGGGCGGAGCTCAAAAGTGCGTTTCAAATCGTCGTGGCAGAGTATTAGGAAAAGTTTTCAATTAGCAATAATAGTGCCTCGGATAAACCTCACTGGCTGTGATACTGCCACTGTGTGGTGGTGCCCTCCTGTAACCCCAGCACTGGGGAGGCTGAGGGAGGCGGGCTGTTGCAGGTTCTAGACCAGCCTGGGCTACAACGTGAGCCCCAAACCAGCCTGAACAAAGTAGTGAGACCCTGTCTCAAAAAAAAAAAAAAAAAAAGTGCGTTTCAATGGAGTGCAAACTCATAACACATTCTCACATTCTCACTAAATGGAGCAAATCAAATGTTGTATTGCAATACACAACCCAGTGGAGGTGTTTTGACCTACAGGAAGCATATACGAAAACACATCAGCAAGAGAAAAAGACGCAGTCTAAGTCCACCAGCGGAACTTTTGAGCACATTATCACCACGCATGCCCTCAGATTATTACATTTGAAGGAGCCAGCTGAACTTGCAATCACTTTTCGACCTTCACAAACTTTATAGAAGTACACAGAGAATCAAGGAAACACCGTGCTTACACACACATTCAGAGGCGCTCCCAGGCATAAGTGGATGTTGGAAATTTTATCGCAATGTTGGCAAATCTCACAAAACCCATTTCATTCACATGCCAGCTATTTCTCCTGATTCACCAAGGATAGACTACTTAGCTTACTCCCCATGGGGGCTGTGGACTGTAAACCGATTTTGTTTCCTGTCACACTGTTTTCAAGTTTTATAATAAAGGGAATATTCCCATTTCTCACGTTTATACAAATATATCTAGTACAAAAATTATAAAATCTAGGTATATAAAAGTATATAATAAGTGCAATGTGTTTGTTTCACTTTCTAGAGTAAATAAAGGGAATGGGTTCAAACTCAACTTCATTTATAGGAAACATAAGTCTGAGAATTTTTAGAAAAGATATTACATAGTGGTTTTTTTTCCCCCTTTTCTTTTTCCTTTGGTAATTGTGATTCAACTCACACATGATCTAGCACTTGCCAGGCAGGCACTTATGCCACTGACCTAAATCCCCAGCCCCTTTCCCATATCTTTTGCAGGGCATATTTTACATCTTTATTTCTCAAGCTATAGATCAATGGATTCAACATGGGGATGACCAGAGTATAAAATACAGAAGCCACTCTGTCAGTGTCACTGGAATGGCTGGATCTGGGCTGCACATACATAAACATCAAAGTCCCATGGAACACTGTGACCACGGTCAGGTGGGACCCGCATGTGGAAAAGGCCTTGCGCCTGCCCTCTGCAGAGTTCATCCTCAGTATGGCTACGAGGATGAGCAGGTAGGACACGGACACCATCAGAAGAGAGGAAATCAAATTAAAAGCTGCTAAGATTCCATTTATCACTTCAATTTCATGGGTGTCAGAGCAAACTAAAGATAACAAGGGGAGAGTGTCACAGTAGAAATGACTGATGACATTGTATCCACAGAAGGACAAAGTGAAAATCTTTATAGTAATCAGAAGAGACACAGATGTGCTGTAGAGATAAGCAATCACCACTATTACCCAACATACTCTTGGTGACATGATGACAGTGTACAGCAGAGGTTTACAGATGGCTACATAGCGGTCATAGGACATGGCAGACAATATAAACAGCTCACAAACAATAAGCGCAATAAAGAAAGTCAGCTGTGTAGCACAACCATAGAATGAAATTGTATTTTGAGCCACTACAAAATTTTCCAACATTTTAGGTCCTATAACTGTAGAGTAACCAAGATCAGTGAGAGCTAGGTGTCTGAGGAAGAAGTACATGGGCATTTTCAGCCTGGAGTCCACCTGGGTGAGGATGATGATGCCCAAGTTGCCCACCAGCGAGGTCAGGTAGATCACGAGGAAAAGTACAAACAGTGGGGCCTGCAGCTCTGGACGATCTGTGACGCCCAGCAGGATGAACTCAGTCACCACTGTGAGGTTGAGCTCATCCATCCAGGGTGCTCAGAAAACCTACTCAGAATAGAAATATCAGCACAGTCAGTTGTTTTTCAGTATTATCTATCACCTGGAAAAATTTTACTCTCCAGACATATTGCACACAAATTGATTCAAATTTTCCCACTTAGAATAATTTAAAATTAACACATATTTTAAAAAACTTCACAGGTAATTCTCATCTGTTATGATTTCCCTCCCAAAAGAATATTACTTTATAACCATACTTAAACCATAAGAATACTTATACGTATTGCTTAAACCATTAGAATATATGGAAAATTACTTTGGATGCATAATTTAAATCTATGAAAGTCTTCATTTGCATAAAATGCTAGCAAATCCTTACATGTTAGAGGGAAGACAAAGAGAGACTTGTTTATTCAGTGAAAGTTACGCTACCTGAAAATAGTTCTTAAGTGCATGTCCATGTGTACTTTTGGTATTTCTAGTGAGAAAAGCAACATGGTGTGATCACAGTGTAAAGCAGAGGGTTGCAGATGCCCATGTAGAAATCATAGGCCCTTGAAGGAGGAATAAAATGTTTTCTAATGATGAACATGATGATGAACAATTATTTAGAAATTGTTTTTCAGTTAGATTAAAATTCACCAGTAATTTGGGTTCCACTCCTCTTGAAAGACCAAGATTGAGAATCTTGAGATGTGTTATTAAAATGTACATAGATGTTTGTAGCGTGATGCCTACCTTAGTGAGGATGATCATGCCCAAAGTGTCCACCACTGTGATTACACAAATGATTAAAAAAAAAACTGCTCCAAGAAGGAGACCTGGATATCAAAGCTAGCTGTGACAACCTATAGAAAGAATTCTTTCAGCACTGACCCACTTTTTTGTGTATTCAGGCCACTAAAAATAATTACTGTAGCAAAGCCATTAGACTCACTGGGTTTTAGGAAGTAGCACCCGCTAAAAATCTTTTAAAAAGCAACCACTAATTGTAAGATAAATCAATGATTTTTGTCCTAATTTAAGATGACCTAGCTCCATTGCTGAACCTAGAACCATGTTTAGAATCCTGTAGGACATAAAGTAGCTGGTGGACTTTTATTTCTCAATTATGTGCTGAGTGTAGTTACAAGCTACAGTATATACAACACCTTTTGTATCTGTAAGAAAGGCATGCTTAGAAAAAGTTTAAAATTGATTGATAATTCTGATACTTTTTACAAAAATTTTTTCATTAAAATTCACAATTTATTCTACTCTTTAAATTTTTTTTCAGGAATTATAATGAAAATAAAGAGCCCTCTGCTTTGTCAGTATATACCTGCAGTCCTAATCCTAAATATCAACCATTTTTAAGACTATTTTAGGTTAGTAGCTGAATCTTCTCACTGCAAGCCAATGTAGCAACATGTATTGTAGTAGATCTTGAAAATTAATATGATATACTTAATTTTTACTTGTTTGAACGTGTTTAGACAAGACCAATAATTACGTGATCTAGAAGAATAAAATTGGATACAGCATTGACATAAATGAAATACATTTATTTTGCTTTACTATCTGTAAATAATATTATCATGTTTTATAGATCTCCCATCAAAAATGCATGAAAAGCCTTGATTTAACTATAGTAATGTAAAGATTTTATTTTATTTCATCCATTTTCCTGAGTTTTTGCTTTCAGACTCTTTAAATAAACTTGAATCAATTAAATCAATACTTTAGTATAGTATTTACTAAAGTAGTCACAGATTCTAGTGAATAAATAATCTAATTTATGCACAAGCATCTATTTAAGTATGTGCATATGTACGCTCACCCAGGGAAATATTTGTGTATTTGTAATGATGTAAGAGAGCGTCCTTCCAGGAATTCATGAGCCAAGGTGACCTCCAGAAATCCTCCTCTCAGTTTCTCCAGGCTTCTTCTCCAAGTCTTGGCTGCTGTTACACATCCTGGGGAGTTTTAGAGTTTCCCTGCAGGCAGATTTAGTGGGCTTTTCCTTACTAATAGCTACCATATCATGTGGCTTCATCTGCTCAAAAACAGGGCAGCATTTCTGTGTTCATTATCGTTAGGGATTTTTCTAAGTCTCTGAGTTCTCCTACATTTCTCATACTTATCTAGCACCAAAATATAAATCGAATGATATTAAATTATATAATAAGCCCTTGGTATTTGTTATACATTCCAGAGGAAAAAAGAAGTGGTTTGACTAAACTTCATTTATGGGAACTGTAATGCAGAGAACTTTTAGAAAATATATTGTATAGATTCTAAGTTTGTTCCATGCTCCTGTTTCACTGGTCTCTAACTTGGAAATTGTCTTGCATGTGTGTGCATGTGTAGTATACTGGGATGTGTGTGTTTCACCCTTCATTTCTCCTATCAAGAAAGAATTGTCCTCTGTGGCTACTTATTTAAATCCTAGTAATTATTGGAGTTACTCAATTTTACTGAGGGCTTTTATATTTTAAATAGTAATATCCAGGGTATTTCAATTTGCATACTAGTGTGTAGTTAATACATATTTCACAATAATTAGAGGAGTTCATTGTCTATCAACACAAAGAAATGATAAACACTCAAAGAGAGGCAAATAATATTAGTCCTAATTTAAACACCATATTGTATACAACTGTTTATTTTTTATATTATGCCTCACAAGCACATACACAGTTTTGTTTATGAAAAGTAAACACCAAAATTTGAAGACAAAACCTGAATCCATAATATATACATTTAAATACAACAAAACATACTGACAAATTTTGCTTGCAAAATTAATCATAATTGGAAAAAGAAATGATAATAAAGCTAGATCTAAAGTTAGATCAAGCTTATATTCTACTGGTCTCTAAGCTGGAAGTTGTTACACACATGTGTGTACTGGTGTGTATTTGTATGTTTCAGTGTAAAGATCAAACCTAGAGCTCACTACCACTAAGCTGAAGTCCTCAGCTCTTGGAATTGTACTTCATTAGACATATGTCACTGTATTTAGGACAAGTACTGAATCTCCCAAGGGAACATGGGGCCATAGAAACCAATTCTTGACACCAAAAAAAATTTCTTTCATTGGCTTTTGTACTCTGGGCAATGCAATAATCAAGAAGAACAGAAAAAGCTTTTTTATTGGCCTTCAGGAACTGTTTAAGCTTTCCTTAGAAACACTGAATTATATAGTTCAGGAACATTTAAAAAGTGTCTCTTCTCTCTGGCACCCTGTAAAACATCGGGTGGCTGTAAGGCAGATGAGGTTTCTGAGTGCGCTATGGCAAAATACATCCCTGTAATGACTATTTATTCTCTGTATAAATACTGACACAGTTTACTTTATCAACAGGGACTTAGGACATCATAATTCAAATTCTACTATTCCCTCTGACTTTCAGCAGTCTAGGAACAGATATTTGATGATTTAGATTAAAAATGCATTATTTCACTCCATCTTGAAGCTAATTGAAATTGAAAAAAATCACAAATACTTAGACCTTACGTTTAGACTTTGTAGTAAATAAAATACATGATGTAGCCTACCTGTGCAGAGAGATTTGCTAAGGTTCACCACCTGAGGATCTTTCCACAGCACTACCTTGACTTAAAGATTCAAGTCCAGGATCCTGAGGAATAAATTCCCAAGTGCAGCCTTGATTCCCAAGGGCAGGAAAGGAAGACAAATACTCATTAGTCAATTCTCCCCTGAAAATGTCACACAAAATAAAGTGCAAAGAATGATGAAAGATTCACTAAAGCAATCATATTGAGTAATAAAAGAGTGCAAGGCTTGCTTTAACTACTGTACACTCTTTCCAAACTGCTGGCCTTGGGAACTCAGCAGTTAACAAGCATTGATGTAAGTTTATGAGAAACCAATGATACAGAATACAAATTCAAAGTTTAAATAATTCTAAATTGACCTGACACTATTTTTTTTATAATTCATAAGATACCCATCGTATACCTAGCATTATTTCTAATTTTTAATGTAAAGCTATAGGACACAAAACAGATTTCCATAGAATCCATTGATTTTCTTAGATGCACCTAATTAACATTGTCATTGCGTGTTTAAAATATTTTCTCTTTTTACCTCTGTTAAGTTATGTATTCTAAAAGCAGTACAAATACAAAATTGTTTCAGAAGATTTTGTTTGCCTACTCACAGCCTTTCAAGTTATGCTCTGAAAAGTGTATTTTATTCAAGAGATTTGTGGACTAAGTATCTGATGGAGTAAATAAATGAATGCGTAAAGAAACAAACAAAATATCTGCCTTCAAATTATTGTCTCAGAGCAAATAACTCATAGGATTATACCAGTTTTGCATGTCTATTTCTGGTAACTGAGGAACTCTTTTGAAGATAACTATGCAAAATAGCAACCTTTATTAGGTTGTTCAAAACCTTGTTTTGAAAGCCATTTTTTTTTTTTTTTTTTTTTTTTTTTGGTTAAAATCCCCAAAGCCTATGTTTTGGGTTTTTTGTTACCTTGAAAATTAATCTGCCTTTTTTATTTGCCTTTTTTTGTTTATATTTTTCTGGTATTTTTGTTTTGTGTGTTTTGTTTTTTCACTTTTAAACAAAACAAAATAATAAAATGAAGTAAAATAAAATTAAGTTCCAAAAGTATTACTTTATCATGTTTTGAAATCATGTAATGCTTTTTTTTTTTGGTTTTGTTTTGTTTTGATTGCTTTTGTTCTGTTTTGTTTTGCTTGATTTTATTGTGTGGACAGCTATTTTGAAGAAAATGAAGACATTTTGGTAGCCATTATTGAGTTTGATTTCCTGTTGTCTTGTTTTGAAGTCCTGTACCACTTGCATTGTGCTATTTTGATTTACTTTATTGTTTGGTTTGTTCTCTCTGTTTCTCTCTCTCTCTCTCTCTCTCTCTCTCTCTCCCTTTTTTTCCCCATACTAGGGATCGAACTCGCAACCTCACACTTGCCAGGCAGGTGCTTATGCTGCTGAGCTAAATCCCACAGCACGGTTTTGTTCTCTTTAAAATAAAATAAAACAAAATAAAATTAAATAAAAT